ACATATATATATATAATTAATGTTACTAAATAGCAAAAGCTTAAGAAACAAGTAATATATACTTCAGTGTATATTTTTTACAGTAATATAATTAAATTTGAGAAACAGTTCTATACCACAAAGAATGAAGCCTCAGGTACACGTTGGACTTTGGGTGATATATATGCATTGATACGGATTCATCGTTGATAAAAAATGAAAGGTTCTAGTGAATGATGGTGATAATGGAAGACCCCATGCACGTGTGCAGACAGGGGCAATAGAGGGTTCTCTGCAACTTCCTCTTAGTTTTGTTGTGAATCTAAACTTACACTAAAAACATTATCTTCTAGTATGCAATGAAAACAATTGTATGGCTGTTGAAGTAATGAGTGATGGATTCCTTATCAATGGTGAAACAGCATTATAACAAAATGAGGTAACTAAAATGCCTGGTGCTTACAAACGTATCGTCTTCTTAATGAGCACGGTGCAAAATAAATTTTTTTTGTACGAAAATCGATATATTGACAATTCTTGTCAATCTCTGAAGATACTGACAACCTGAAATACAGAGAATTATATCCCATTAATCTTACCGTAAGATTACTTACGTCTCTTACTATGTACCGTAGTATTTTGATGAATAAACCATCCATCTTGACTATTACTTATGTATCTCCATCTCAAGATTTCCCATACCATTTTTCTCTAGAAAACCTTCAACTACTGTGTTTATCCAATTGTTCACACATTGCTCTTTTTGTTTCTAAGTACAATTCTTGTGAGGCATAAAATAAAAATTTGTCATGGGACTTACACTTCAGAAGAAAAATTTAAGGCTTTTGGCTGCACAGGTGAACTATGATGGCTTCTCTGGGAGCCTCTAATCCATGTACTAGCACGGAGTAAATTCAACAAAAACTATGAGAAAATAAAATTTATTGGGAGTCAAATACAAGCTCTTGTACTCATTTGAATTTTGTAATAACACATAAAAGTTCATCCTTTCTTCCTTTGTAGACACTTTGAAATTATAATATAATGTCACACAGTGGACACAAAAGTATAAAATTAACTTAGTAGGACTAAGTGAAGAGGACAAACTGACCGTGAAAACAATTTCAGAGTTTAGAAAATGGATTACAGGTAATAACTTATGAAATACGTACATTGGAAAAAATCCTGGAGAGTCAAGTCAGAAGCACATTTGTCATCTTCTTGCCTAGGATGCTCCCGTGTCTCCCCACCTGCCCACCCCTGGCTCAGTGATAAGAAGACTGAAATGTTACAACTGGGAGAAACTGCAAAGAGCAAGGGTGCTGGCGCCACAGGGGGAGACCTGATCAGCGCTGGGGATGGGGACGGGTACCCATTGAATTTCAGCTCCAAGTGCTGATATCGCTTGGTAATGATGGAGAAAACCCATACTTGTGCTGGTCAGAGGTTGAGGTGTTTGTGTCAAGCACTGTGACCCCCATAAATATAATGGAAAGATACTGGATGTGAGAAAGAAACAGAAGAGTTGACATTGGCCCTCTAACACTCTTAGCTTATGGAAAAAATAGACACACATGGAGAGGAGACCAAGAGGAACCCAGGAGAAAGTAAGAGCACAAGGAGACTTGGGAACTGAGAGTAAAGGTCTGAACAGTCCCCTCCCGAATTCACACAGGCACTGAGGTCACACTGCAGAACGTGGAAGCCGTAATGACCTGCAGTGTTTGAACACATCTTTTCTTAAAAAAACAAAACAAAACAAAACAAAACAAAAAAACAACAAAAACAAAAAAAAAGCTAGTAATTAACACCAAGGCTTCAAAGTCACAAGGTCATAAACGTAAGCAATAAGAACATGGAAAAATTGAAGAAAACTATCAGCAAACAGACTTCAGTGGAGAAGATGCTGCCATAAAGTTTTTACAACAAAAAAACAGAGTAAATCTAGGAGAAATGAAAGAGAATGCATATTTCATAAACTGTATTTTTAAAAATGTCTCCATAAAGAGTTAAAAAAATGTGAAGGGAAATTGGAAAATATCTTCCAACAAAAGGAAAGCATATGTGAATAGACCTTCTAATGGGGTAATTGTTGCACATATTAGGAAAAAACATTGAAAAGTCCTACTTATAAAGATATATAAACTATACAGAAAACTTAGTTGAAATAATTACAGGAGCATGTGATGGCAGTAATTTAACAAGTAGGCAATATCAATAAGAAATAAAACTATATGAAGAAATCACAGAGAATCTGAGTGAACAAATACACACCTGAAATGGAAAACTCACTAAATTTTCTCTGCAGAAAATTTGGGATGCGGTAGAAAAGAACTGATGAAATTGCAGGAGTAACAAAATCTATTCATATCTTAGGATGAGACAGAAAAAAGAGAATTTTATATACGAATTTACAGAATTCAGAGACTTTCAAAACAGTATCCAGAAAGCCAACTTAGGTCTAAGTAGAATATGAGAAGTACAAAAGAGGTAGAAAATAAAATAGGACAACAATCTTAAGGCACGACGAATGACACCTTACTAACATCATTTAAAATATTTTAGACACCGGAGACATAGCAAACTGCTAACAGAAGGAGCACATACAATTGCATGTCTCATGACACCATAATGAAAAGACCAAAGAACAGTGGCAAATACAAAGAAATACTCTTGAGGGAAGAGAGTGGATTGTGAAGTGACTCAAGTCAGTGTGAAAATCAGGGATGGGTGACACGTCTTCCACCTCCATCAGCCTTACGCCACATTATCTAGGACAGAATCCATTACCCTGCCCTGCACACTAGTTCCGATTGGAACGGGATACAAGCAGCAAGATAAAGGAACAGAAAGACACAGACCCTAAATCCCCCATGAAAACAATCCCTTAAAAATATCCAGACACAAACGCAGGTATAATCAGTCTAATCAGGTTGATAAGGATGCCAGAACGATTCAATAGGGAAACAATGGATCTTTTACAAAGGGTGTTTGGAAACTGACTACCCACATGCAGCAGAATGAAGTTGGATGTTTACATTTACACCGTATACTAAAAGTAACTCCAAATGAACTAAAGACATAAATGTAAGATGTAAAGCTATAAAGTTCCTCAAAGAAAGAAGGGGGGGATATTAAACAGCATTGTACTTGGCAATGATTTCTTGGCTAGGCCACTCAAACCACATAGCACAAAGGAAAAGTCCATTGTAGACAACTGGGCAATGTCAACCTGAAACAATTCTGTGCATTAAAAGGCATGATCAGCAAAGACAATACAGAGTGGGAAAAACACTTGCAAATCATATATCAAACAAGGGAATCATATCTAAAATATACAAGGAATCTACAAGTCAGTGACGACTACAGCAAACACCAAAAGAGACAATGAAAAAATGGACAAAGAAATGAAATACACAAATTTGCAAAGAATATATACAGATGGTGAAAAATCGTATGAAAAGATGCTGAATATCGCTAATGAGCAGAGAAATGCAAATCAAATTCACGGTGTGTTATCACCTTATACTCATTACGATGGCTGCAACACACACACACACACACACACACACACACACACACACGTGTCGGGGCACCTGGGTGGCTCAGTTGGTTAACATCCAAATCTTGGTTTTGGTTCAGGTCATGATGTCACAGTTTGTGGGTTTAG